TTGGACCCTGTATCATCATCTTTTCAAATCAGTAATTTTCCAGAACCTTTGATAGAGCTGAAAGCAAACGCCGGATATTAAAACCCTGCCATTGTGCTGTTTTCACACATATACATTCTTGATAGGCATCTGTCCTTTTCCCCCTAGAAGACTTTCATATCTACTAACGTTCATCCGTTCGATTGAAAATTCTAATATGCAAAATTTTTATTTCAAGAAAAACAACAGTAACATAAGCGAGGACCCAAGAAGAATGTTAGTAGCCATTTGATTATAATGGTGAAGAAAGAAATCTGGATAAAATCAGGGGGTTATCATTAGCCATTGTGGTAAATACAAGAGTATAATGTATAAGAGGTACGGTGACGTCGTAAGAATTCTTAAGGAAGGTTAATGAAATTGAAGTCAGCTGCATATATACCACCATGATACTGCTGGAGATTTTTTTTTTTAACTGTCTATAACACTATGCAACATGATTTTTGTTCAATGTATTGTCGAAGACTTTCATGGCCAGAATCACTGGGTTGTTGTAAGGTTTTTCGGGCTGTATGGCCATGTTCTAGAGGCATTTCTCCTGACGTTTCGCCTGCATCTATGGCAAGCATCCTCAGAGGTACCTCACTACCTCTGAGGATGCTTGCCATAGATGCAGGGCGAAACGTAAGGAGAGAATGCCTCTAGAACATGGCCATATAGCCCAAAAAAACCTACAACAACCCAATGATTTTTGTTCCTGGGTTATAAATGTTATTTCCTAATTGGTTCTATCACACAAACATGGAAAAAGTTGATTAAACTCCAAAAACTTTGTTTTTGAAGGACATCTTGCAGCACATTTTGCTATAGTTTTTCAATGAATATCTCATAGTCTCAACCAATTCAACATAGTTGTGGCAGTCACAAAAACTAATATTCTGGTGTATAACCACTACTTTCAAAGTAAGTACTGCACAATTAAACAGGAAATAACACTTTTAAACCAGGAGCAGAACTGTTTTCAAATTTTGTTATGTAGTGTAATCATCACTGCTATTTTTTCATTTTCCCTACTGAAGTAAGTGAACACATCAATCTGGAATTAACTGGCAGAGCCTGTCACGGCAACCAGCTCCACTGGCTGCCAGTTCAGTTCCGAGCACAATTCAAGGTGCTGGTTTTGACCTACAAAACCCTGTACGGTTCCGGCCCAGTGTATCTGTCCGAACGTATCTCCCTCTACGTCCCACCCCAGAGTCTGAGATCATCTGGGGAGGCCCTGCTCCCGACCCCACCACTATCCCAAGTGAGGTTGGTGGGGACGAGGAGCAGGACCTTCTTGGTGGTGGCCCCTCACCTGTGGAACTCACTCCCTGGGAGAAATTAGGGCATCAACATCCCTCCTCTCCTTCAGGAGGAAAGTAAAAACGTGGTTGTGGGACCAGGCCTTTGGGCAATCTGACAACTAGATAAGGACAATCAAATGACTAGGACTGACAGGACTGACAATGTGGAATTGGAAATTGGACTATGAGATAGCGAACGCTGACCGTCTATGAGGAGTAATTGGGATTGTATTGTTTTATTGGTTTTAGGGTTGTAATGTAGGAACTGTTGTTTAACTGTTCAACTGTTTAATTGATGTTATTTTGTTTTACTACTGTTATGTGATGCTGGCATCGAATTGTGCCTTTGTAAGCCGCCCTGAGTCCCCTTCGGGGTGAGAAGGGCGGGGAAGAAGAAACCTAAATAAATAAATAAATAAATAAATAAATATATGCCTTGCGTGCACTCAGTGCCAGTTCAAATGATGGCATCACCAATATAGGATCTGAAACTTTCATTTTATGTTTTATGTTTGATATATGTATTCTACAGAGTGTTTTTAAATGATTATGTGTTTTAAGTATGTGTTTTAGCAATGTTGTAACCCGCCTTGAGCAGGTGGGTAAGAAATACTATTATTATTATTATTATTATTATTATTATTATTATTATTTTTTTACTGACACAAAAACACAGTATGTCACAGTATACTGGATTTTGTATCACAAAATCACAAGTCGAACACTTCCCAAGCATCTAGGACTATGTGATGTTTTTTCGAATGATGCGTGCAGATCCAAGTAAGGTGGCCTTATGCAGTTGACAGATCAAAATTTTGTCAATTGTCTATTGTTTCCAAATGCCGGCTGAGATCTTTTGGCACGGCACCCAGTGTGCCAATGACCACTGGGACCACCTGTACTGGTTCATGCCAGAGCCTTTGCAGTTCGATTTTGAGGTCCTGATAACGGCTGAGTTTCTCCTGTTGTTTTTCCTCAATTCGACTGTCACCCAGTACGGCGACATCAATATTCCAAATGTATTGTCAAAGGCTTTCATGGCCAGAATCATTGGGTTGTGTAGGTTTTTTCAGGCTATATGGCCATGTTCTAAAGGCATTTTCTCCTGACATTTTGCCTGCATCTATGGCAAGCATCCTCAGAGGTTGTGAGGACCTCACTACCTCTGAGGATGCTTGCCATAGATGCAGGCGAAACGTCAGGAGAAAATGCCTTTAGAACATAGCCATATAGCCCGAAAAAACCTACAACAACCCAATAATCCAAATATTTTTCTTTTCCACAATCGTGATGTCTGGTGTATTGTGTTTCAAAACTTTGTCAGTCTGGATTCAAAAGTCTCACAGTATTTTGCATGCTGCTGCTTCTCCTTCTTCTTTTTCTTCTTCTTCTTCTTCTTATTATTATTATTTTGAAACACAACAAGATGAGTCAACAGCAAACAAAGTCACTCTGCTGGCTGTTGTATTGGATCACATGTCAGACACTTCCCAAGTGTCTAGGACTGTGTGATGTATCGGCAAATAATGAGTGCAGATCCCTTTAAGGTGGCCTTTTGCAGCTGGCAGATGGTAATTTTGTCAGCGATTATTGTGTTTAAGTGCAGGCCAAGGTATTTAGGCACTGGACCCAGTGTGCCAATCACCACTGGGACCACCTTTACTGGCTTGTGCCAGAGTCTTTGCAGTTCGATCTTTAAATCCTCATATTGTGTCAGCTTTTTCAGTTGTTTCTCTTCAATCCCGCTGTATTATTATATAGCAAGAGACAGGAAAGGCCTCTTTGTAAGACTCTAGAGCAGTGGTTCTCAACGTTCCTAATGCCGCGACCCCTTAATACAGTTCCTCATGTTGTGGTGACCACCAGCCATTAAATTATTTTCATTGCTACTTCATAATTGTAATATTGTTACTGTTATGAATCGTTATGTAAATATCTGATATGCAGGATGTATTTTGATTCACTGGACCAAATTTGGCACAAATACTCAATATGCCCTAATTTGAATTCTGGTAGGGTTGGGATGGGAGGATTGATTTTGTCATTTGGGAGTTGTAGTTGCTGGGATTTATAGTTCACCTACATTCAAAGAGCATTCTGAACCCTACCAATGATGGAATTGGACCAAACTTGGCACACAGAACTCCCATGACCAACGGAAAATACTGGAAGGGTTTGGTGGGCATTGACCTTGAGTTTGGGAGTTGTAGTTTGCCTACACCCAGAGAGCACTGTGGATTCAAAGAATGGTGGATCTGGATTAAACTTGGCACTAATATTCAATATGCCCAAATGTGAACACTGGTGAAGTTTGAGGAAAATAGACCCTGACATTTGGGAGTTGTAGTTGCTGGGATTTATAGTTCACCTACAACTAAAGAGCATTCAGAAGCCTACCAATGATAGAATTAGGCTAGAAACAGAGAATGACCAACAGAAAATACTGTCTGTGATGGTCTTTGGCGACCCCTCTGACACCCCCTTGCAACCCCTCCAGGGGTCCTGATCCCCAGGTTAAGAACCACTGCTCTAGAGAGCTCATACCAATAAAATGCAGCAATTCTGCATGTGATGTACCAATGCCTTGACTCAGTGCATAACACATCCTTATTATGTTCCCAGCTAATACCTTGGAAACATCATTTCCAGACTACAAATTCCAGAATTCACCAGCCAGCCTGTCCAAATAAATATGCTCGTTCAGGGATCATCAAGCTAAGGCCCAGGGGCTGGATACGGCCCTCCAAGGTCATTTACCCGGCCCTCGCTTAGGGTCAACCAAAGTCTGAAATGACTTGAAAGCACACAACAACAATCCTATCTCATCAGCCAAAAGCAGACCCACACTTCCCACTGAAATACTAATAAATTTATATTTGTTAAAATTGTTTTTCACTTTAATTATTGTAAGTGTTCTTTTGCACTACAAATAAGATATGTGCAGTGTGCATAGGAATTCATTCATGTTTTTTTTTCAAATTATAATCCAATAATTTGAGGCACTGTGACCTGGCCCAGTCTTTAAAAAGTTTGGGGACCCCTGTGCTAGTTGATGATGATCAGAGCTGTAGCTAAGATGTGACAAATCTCTATAAACTGTATTAACCCTCCAAAGGAAAGTGTGAGATCCTTAGAATCCTTTTGTATCTTTCACTAGAAGTGCATTGTTCCTTCACAATAGTCCATCTTTGCTTATGTGCCTGTAGAGTGCAGACTATGCAATATTCTTTTGAATTGTCACAAGTCGTTCAAGATTGTTATAGTGACACAATGTTGACAATTCAAGAGAAAAAATGCATTTGGAATCCAACCATTCCCAAAAATGGCAGGATATATGCAGCTTTGATTTGTCAAGTTAGGATAGAAAGTAAAAAGAATGAAGGGCAGAGCCCACTGCAGTATCAAAAAAAAAATAGTTAGAAATACCTTCTTCACCATCATCTGAAATATATTCACCATCACTGAGAATTTCAGGAACATTCGCTTTACGAACTGCACAATTTAAGTGAACAAAATATTAGGTATCGGTAAACATGAGTGGAAAAAATGATTTCAATAGAACAACTTAATACTGCAATTTTCACACACACACAAACCAATATCAACTTTCTGTTGAAAAACAGAAAACACAAATTCCTGTTGAAGAATGTCTAGCAAGTATTCTATCATACATACCCTCATCGTCAGACATGTCCAAAACTTCATTCATTGTTTCCGGTACATTCATTTTATGCTTTTCTATGACAGTCTGTTAAAAAGAAAGGAACATTAGTTGCTACCAAGATCAAAGCAAAAAACAAAACAGTTTTCATAATAGTCAAGTGCTTTTTCTAACCATTCACACCTCTTCATATACAGATTGTGTCAGTAAGTGTTAAATCAGTGTTTCTCAACCTGGGGGTGGGGACCCCTGGGGGGGTCAGGAGGGGGTGTCAGAGGGGTCGCCGAAGACCATCAGAAAACGCAATATTTTCTGTTGGTCATAGGGGTCTCTGTGTGGGATGTTTGGCCCAATTCTGCCATTGGTGGGGTTCAGAGTGCTCTTTGATTGTAGGTGAACTATAAATCCCAGCAGCTACAACACCCAAATGTCAAATCTATTTTCCCCAAATTCCACCAGGGTTGACATGTGGGCATATTGAGTATTCGTGCCAAGTTTGGTCCAGATCCATCATTGTTTGATTCCACAGTGCTGTCTGGATGTTGGTGAACTACAACTCCCAAACTCAAGGTCAATGTCCACCAAACCCTTCCAGTATTTTCTGTTGTTTATGGAAGTTCTGTGTACCAGGTTTGGTTCAATTCCATCATTGGTGGAGTTCAGAATGCTCTTTGATTGTAGGTGAACTATAAATCCCGGCAACTACACTCCTACATGTCAAGTCTATTTTCCCCAAATTTCACCAGTGTTGGCATGTGGGCATAGTTTGGTCCAGATCCATCATTGTTTGAGTCCACAGTGCTCTCTGGATGTAGGTGAACTACAATTCCCAAACTCAAGGTCAATGTCCCAAACCCTTCCAGTATTTTCTGTTGGTCATGGGAGTTCTGTGTGCCAGGTTTGGTTCAATTCCATCATTGGTGGAGTTCAGAGTTCAGGTGAACTATAAATCCCAAATATTAAAATGTTAAAATCAATCCCCCCCCCCCAACCCCACCAGTAGCAATAAAAATAATTTTATGGTTGGGGGGTCACCACAGCATGAGGAACTGTATTAAGGGGTCGCAGCATTAGGAAGGTTGAGAAACAGTGTGTTAAATGCTTCTCCTCTTTTTGATTCAGATTTATCTCCTCATTAAGCTATGTCCCAAGCGGCCCAAAACTGGTTTTGCTTTAGCCTTGAATCTCTTATCCTTCCTTCTCTGAGCCTGGCGGAACCCCGGAGCCACTGATCTGCTTGCCTGTTTTGACTAATCACAACCCGTCTATCTATTTGCTCATTAATTTCTGCAGATGGGCCTGGTGCCGAACTCTTCTCAAGCTCCAAATCATGGGAATTCTCTGGTCACAACTTCAGGTTGCCTATCGACTTACAGTGATCCCATGTATTTCATAGGGTTTTCTTATGGCAAGGAATACTCAGAGGTGGTTTTGCCAGTTCCTAGAGCACTTGGTATTCATTGGCGATCTCCTATCTAAGTGCTAGCCAGGCATGATTCTGTGTACTTTCCGATATTTCATGTCTCCACTTTGTGGGAGAGAGTGGATAAAACACATAAAAACATAGAAAATATACAGGGCTTTAATATAATATATTGCTATCAGTGAGGCATGTACAGGAACTTTCTCTATACCAAAAAGCAGCAACTTTCAATTGTCTCCAGAGATCACTGACAGGACAGGTATTAATAAAAAACAAGCACAATTGTAAAAAAAAAATGCTCTCCTTGTCACAATGTTGTCACTAATTATTATTTAAATAGATTATTTTGTATCTACTTCATCTACCATTTTTATTTTATTTTTTTACAATTTATTTATTTATTATTTTATAATTATTTCATGCTTGTTTTAAGACGGGGTCCTCAAACTATGGCCCGGGGGCCGGATACGGCCCTCCAAGGTCATTCACCCGGCCCTTGCTCAGGATCAACCTAAGTCTGAAATGACTTGAAAGCACACAACAACAACAACAATCCTATTTCATCAGTCAAAAGCAGGCCCATTGAAATACTAATAAGCTTATATTTATTAAAATTGTTCTTCATTTTAATTATTGTATTTTTAAAGTGTTTTTGCACTAATGCTGCGACCCTTTAATACCATTCCTCATGTTGTGGTGACCCCCCAGCCATAACATTATTTTTGTTACTACTTTCACAACTGTACATTTGCTACTGTTATGGATCGTAATGTAAACATCTGATATGCAGGATGTATTTTTATTCACTGGACCAAATTTGGCACAAATACCCATATGCCCACATTTGAATACTGGTGAGGTATTTTAGGGGAGATTGATTTTGTCATTTGAGAGTTGTAGTTGCTGGGATTTATAGTTCACCTGCAATCAAAGAGCATTCTGAACTCTCCCAGTGATGGAATTGAACCAAACTTGGCACACAGAACTCCCGTGACCAACAGAAAATATTGGAAGGGATTGCAGGGCACTGACCTTGAGTTTTGGAGTTGTAGTTCACCTACCTCCAGAGACTCAAGCTAGGATGGATCTGGACCAAACTTGGCAGAAATACTCAATATGCCTAAATGTGGACACTGGTGGTGTTTGGGGAAAACAGACCTTAACATTTGGGAGTTGTAGTTCCTGGGATTTGTAGTTCACTACAATCAAAGAACATTCTGAACCACATCAATGATAGAATTGGGCCAAACTTCCCACACAGAACCCCCATGACTAACAGAAAATACTGTGTTTTCTGATAGTCTTTGGCGACCCCTTTGACCCCCTGGCGACCCCCCCCCCCAGGGGTCCTGACCCCCAGGTTGAGAAACACTGTTTTAAACAGTTTTGGAAAGTTGGGAATGTATCATGGATCCTTGGTTTCTGAAATAAACAAAGTGTGAGTGACATAAGATGGCTCTAGACCAGTGTTTCTCAACCTGTGAGTCCCCGGATGTTTTGGCCTACAACTCCCAGAAATCCCAGCCAATTTACCAGCTGTTAGCATTTCTGGGATTTGAAGGCCAAAACATCTGGGAACCCACAGGTTGAGAACCATTACTCTAGACCAGTGGTTCTCAACCTGGGGTCCCCAGATGTTTTGGCCTTCACCCCCAGAAATCCTAACAGCTGGTAAACTGGCTGGGATTTCTGGGAGCTGTAGGCCAAAAACATCTGGGGACCCCAGGTTGAGAACCACTGCTCTAGACAGAAATACTTGCTATCACAATTATTGTGAAGAAATAAGTATAATCGCTCCCACTTGATACTTCCAAAGATAGGAGCAACTAAATGATCCATGTTCTAATCTGGGAGACATTATCCACTGTAAAGTGGATGATGAAGATATCAAAATAATTGTGTAAATTGTGAAAAGTTAGGAATAGCTCTTAACAATGGGTATGCCATGACATCTGATTGTCCTAATGTGTAATCTGTACTAGGTACAAAAAGCTCCATCAGGCTGGAGAAGAATTTTACAGATATTATACATTGCCAAAAGACAAATAAATGAATCAAGGACATTTTCACTAGAAGCTATAATCATCAAACTGAAGTTGTCACACTTTGGGCACATCACGACACCATGATACATTGGAAATGACAGAGCTCAGTAAAGTTGAAGGCAATAGAAAAAGAGGAAGACCATATTATAACTGGATTGCTTCAGCCAAGGAAGCAACATGAGTTTGCACGAGCTGAGCAACGTTGTAGATTATTATAGCCCTTGGAAGTTTCTCATTCCTAGGGTTGCCATACATTGATGTGATCTTGAAGGCAATTAACAAAAAAGCTCATGGTTTTCATGGTTTGAGATGATGTCTGAATTGGATTCTGTCTTCTTGTTGTTGCGTGCCTTCAAGACAGTTCTGACTGAAGGCAACTCTGTCATGGGGTTTCTTGGCAGAGTTTGTTGAGAGGGAGTTTGCCCTTGCTTTCATATGAAGCTGAGAGAGTGTGACTTGCCCAAAATGATCCAGTGGGTTTCCACTACAGAGTAGCGATTCAAATTCTTTTATTCCATTCATCCTAGTCCAGGACATCACACTGTTTGTTGCATTAACAACTGGAAGTAAGCCATAGATTTTGAGTTACGAGGGGTATTTTTTTAAGTAAGGTCCGTTTTGTTGTAGACACTAGTAGTTCGCGCGCATACCGCAACGAGCGCGTGCATCGTGTACCGGCATGCCTCGGGAACAACTGTGCTCAGTTTCCGCTCTGTAGCTAACCTGTACGGTTCTGTTCTGTGCTTTAAAAATGTTTAAGACTATCAACTCACCCGCCGCATGTGAGGTTCGCTCAGTGATACGGTTTTTGTCAGCAAGGAACCTGCCTGCTGCAGAAATTCATCGACAGATTTGTGAAGTGTACGGTGATACTGTTATGAGTGAAAGCAAAGTGCGTAAGTGGGTACGACAATTCAAAGATGGCCGTGACAACGTCCATGATGAGGACCGCTCCGGTCGCCCTTCTTTGATTACAGACGATTTGGTGGCTTTTGGTGGCGGCAAGTTTTTATGAAGAGGTATTTTAAAATTGGTTCAGAGGTATGATAAGTGTTTGAACAAACTTGGCAACTATGTCGAAAAATAAAGTGAAGTATGTACTTTCTGAAATAAATTTACTTTTTTGAAATAAACTTTCGTTGTGTACTTATGTTCAAACGGACCTTACTTAAACAACAACAACAATAATAATAAGGTAAAGGTAGTCCCCTGACATTAAGTCCAGTCATGTCTGACTCTGGGGTGTGTGCTCATCTCCATTTCTAAGCCGAAGAGCCAGCGTTGTCCGTAGACACCTCCAAGGTCATGTGGCCAGCATGACTGCATGGAGCGCCGTTACCTTCCCGTCGGAGCGGTACCTATTGATCTACTCACATTTGCATGTTTTCGAACTGCTAGTGTTTTCGAACTGCTGTATGTTAACTGTAGTATGTATTAATAGTGGACTCAAGAGACTTCATGCTTGAAACTGTGCTGAACATTCAAGATAACAGATTTTAGACTAAATTAGAGGTTGCAACTTGGTCAACACTGCTTATTTCACAAGAAGAAGGCAGGAGGAAACAAAAGAGAGAAGAAAGGAGAAACTACAAGAAGATAATCATATCAACGATAAGAATCACATGGCGCGGAGAAGGAGATTCAGGAGTCAACAACAACACACACCCCCACCCAGCTTTCCATCTCTAATCCCATACCCCCTGACCCATTGCTATTCCTCCATGTCCCCCAGTCTGTCCTGTTAGATATTTACCTTAGTTCTTCCCTTCACCACACCCTAAGTTTTACCTTTGGACCACACCCCTTTACCCTAAGGCACACAGCCCTTTCTTTTTTCCCTAAACTTTTATTGCTGTAAACACCAAAATGCATTTAATAAAAATTATTTTAAAAAAAAACACTGTTTATTTCAAATTTAGTTCTAATAACAATAAGTTATTTGCAAGCCACTTTGAGTCTCCTTGTGGAGAGAAAACGTAGGTTATGAATAAACATAATAATAATAATAATAATAATAATAATAATTATTATTATTATTATTATTATTATTATTATTATTATTATTATTATTTATAACTTTAAACCTTTGGGAGGGGGCATCCGAGGTATCTAACAAATGCTGCATGAAATCATCTTGAAGACAAATTGCCAAACTTTTTTGTAGGTTGAGCTACATTGTGACTGTTCCAAACTAAACAGTTCTCTGTCAAAGAAAAAAAATCTGATTACTGCTTTCACTGTTGAAATATAGCCATACTTACAATTGCTGTCATGGTTTCTTCTGTCACCACCTTTAGTGTGTCAACAACGGAAATGTAGCCAAGTCGTTTTGCAATAGCCAGGGCAGTATTCCCATTCTGGACAATGGAAAAGTTCATTAAAACAATTAACGTTAGCACAATCTTCAGATAATGAGGTAGCTAGACATACAGCTTAGTTACACTCAATAAAACATGCCCAAACTAGTGCTTACTTCCACTGTAAGTGGATGTCAGTGGAATGTTTGTGGAGGAAAATGGAAATGAAAGACTTGCTTCTTTCTCCATCCAAATCCACATGTTGCCTGCCCGGTTTAGCTGAGGTGGGAAAGCAAGCTCTTGAAGCAATCTGTCTTTAATATTATGTGTATAAAACGCAAGGAGTTTTATACTTGTTTTTTTTTTGAGAAGGTGAGAAAAAAATTGCCTAGCGCTATATGTTTTGAGTTTATTACTTGAAGAAAATGAAGGACTTGGTTTTCTATGTATATTTTCAGAATGTGAGTACATTTTAAGTAAATAAGTTTCTTTTCAATTGGGGATGGAGCTAGAAAAAAAAAACACATCACTTTTGTTATATACCAGTGTTTCTGCAAATATGTAGCATATCGGGATATGAGTGAAGTCTAACATAACAATCCCACCATAACGTCAGGACAAAAATTGCCTCCAGAACATGGCCATATAGCCCGGAAAAACCTACAACAACCCAATCCCACCATTTCCTCCCCTTAAAGGACTTCTATAAAACCAATATAATCATTCAATGTGAAAGTGAAGTAGATATTTCAGGGAAAGGAAGGCCAAAAAAGACGTCTGTCTTACCACAGTGAGTTCATTGGGTGATGCGCCATTCTGGAGTAAGACGTTGATTATATGGGTGTGCCCTTGTTGGGCTGCTTGATGCAGAGGGGTGTATCCATTCTAAACAGCAGAGAAAACAAATAGTGCCTCTGTTTTACACACACACACACACACCAAAAGAAAGACTAAGGAAAGAGATAGATGAGAAAAAGATGACAACCTCACCTTTGTCTTGGCATTCACTTTTGCAAATTGCTGCATTAGGAAATTCACCATCTTTATGTTTCCATAGTGGCATCCAACGTGTAAGGGGGTGTATCCCATCTGGAATGCACAAAAAGAGAGAGGGAGAAAGGAGAAGAGGAATTAATGAATGAATACATGTCTAGAATGACAGTATAATTCACATTTTGGCAACAAACTATTAGTTGAGGTGAGTTTTCAAGTCATCTGTGACTTATGATGAAATGGCCTTGGGTGAGTCATATATTCTCAGCCACAAAGAACACATGGTTTTCTGGCCTGAGAGTATTTGATTCATTCAAGGTCACTTAGTGGATTTCCAAGGCTGAGCGGGGAATTAGGCTCTGGTTTCCAGAGTCATAATTCAATGCTGAAACCACGAAAGCACTCTGATTATTATCCATGCCTTTTACCAATTTTTTAAATTGTTGTAAGCCACTTCGAGCCTCAATTTGGGGAAAAGACAAAACAGAAAATAGTAATAATAATAATAATAATAATAATAATAATAATGTCACTTATGTCACAAGTACCACCTGCCAGCAGCAAAGAATTGGTGGGATCATAAACCCGCAAAGGTCGTGGAAAATGAACATACAAAAATACTGTGGGACTTTCGAATCCAGACTGACAAAGTTTTGGAACACAACACGCCAGACATCATGATTGTGGAAAAGAAAAAATCCTGCATTATTGATGTTGCCATACCAGGTGACAGTCGCACTATCAAGACCTTAAAATCAAACTGCAAAGGCTCTGGCATAAACCAGTACAGGTGGTCCCAGTGGTCATTGGCACACTGGGTGCCGTGCCAAAAGATCTCAGCCGGCATTTGGAAACAATAAACATTGACAAAATCACGATCTGACAACTGCAAAAGGCCACCTTACTTGGATCTGCGCGCATCATTCGAAAATATGTCACACAGTCCTAGACGCTTGGGAAGTGTTCGACTTGTGATTTTGTGATATGAAATCCAGCATATAGATCTCGTTTGCTGTGACCTACTATTCTTTTGTGTCAATAATAATAATAATAATAATAATAATAATAATAATAATAATCTTATATCCCGCCAACCATCTCCCTTAGGGGACTCGAGGCGGCTTACAAGGGACAAGCCCAAAATTACAATTAAAACACACAAGTACAACACTTTAACCAATTAAAACATCAGACAAGCAATTGTCTTTAAAGGAAATCTTTACCTATTTCAATTGTGTCAGGAAATTGATAGATGTAGATGATAGTTACCCTCCCAAAGACAGAATCCACTCACTGATGAACATTTTTGTGTGTGCCTCATTTATACCCACAACTCCATTTCTACAAGTGCTAAGCCTGTTTAAGTACATGGATCTCCTTAAACTGCTCAGGGTGCAAAGTTGAAAAAGAATGTTTCTTGTGAGATACTTTACTATGGAGGGAAGAGACAGATCTCTGATGTGGTTATACTATTAATCTGATGTGGTTATACTATTAACCTTCCTTCCTGCAAAAATAGACATTTGACTTTCAGAATGGAAATGGACGGCATATAAAGCAAAGCTAGATTGCATCCTGTACTTTGTTGTTTCTGTTTTTAAGGTTGAGTGCAACCATTCTGGTTTCACCTTCACACCCCACCAACTGTGAAGCAGGATACATACTTGGAGAGTTTTTATGCTTGTCTCTAATCAAAAAATCAGTTCAATGTGCAAATCATTAAAATATGATGACCTTATGAACAAAAGACCTGCAAGTCACCAATCAACAACCCTGTTCTTGCAGATTCAGGTCTGTGGATTCCCTGATTGAGTATATTAATCCAGAATCTGACTGAGTCTATACATCTTCCTCTTTTCTTACTGCTTTCTTTGAAAGGCAGCAGATCACAGGAGCTGTCTTCATAGACCTGTCAGCAGCTTATGATACTGTAAACCACCACCTCCTCCTGAGTAAAATGTATAATATCACAAAGGATTACCATCTCAGCCACCTCATAGGAAATCTGCTACAAAACAGGAGTTTTTTTGTTGAGTTCCAGGGCCAAAGAAGCAGATGGCAGAAACAGAAGAATGGCCTGCCTCAGGAGAGCATGCTTGCTCCATCAATGTTCAACATTTACACAAATGACCAGCAATTACCATAAGAGACAGAGAGTTTCATCTATGCTGACGATCATGCCATTACCGCTCAAGCAGGGAGCTTTGAAATGGTTGAACAAAAGCTCTCCGAAGCTCTAGGTGCTCTCACTGCCTATTACAGGGAAAACTAGCTGATTCCTAATCCATCTAAAACACAGACATGTGCTTTTCATCTTAAGAACAGACAAGCATCCCGAGCTCTGAGGATTACCTGGGAAGGAATCCCACTGGAGTATTGCAGCACATTGCAGCACACCTGGGAGTTACCCTGGACCGTGCTCTGACGTACAAGAAGCACTGCCCGCATATCAAGCAAAAAGTGGGCGCTAGAAATAATATCATACGAAAGCTGACTGCACAACCTGGGGATCACGAGCAGATACAGTGAAGACATCTGCCCTTGCGCTATGCTATTCTGCTGCTGAGTATGCATGCCCAGTGTGGAACACCTGCATGCCCGCTAAAACAGTGGATGTGGCTCTTAATGAGACATGCGCATTATCACGGGGTGTCTGCGCCCTACACCGCTGGAGAAATTACACTGCTTAGGCGGTATTGCACCACCTGACATCTGCCGGGAAGTAGCAGCCAATAGTGAAAGGACCAAGCAGTGACATCTCCGGCCCATCCCTGTTTGAGTATCAGCCAGCACAACTTAAATCAAGAAATAGTTTTCTAAGATCTACAGAGACACTCACTGGAACACCTCAGCAAGCGAGAGTCCAAAAGTGGCAGGCTCAAACCCAGAACCTCAATCAATGGCTGATACCAAATGAGAGACTCCCTCCTGGGCACACAGAAAACTGGGCGAATTGGAAGGCGCTGAACAGACTGCTCTGGCACCACGAGATGCAGAGCCAACCTTAAGAAATGGGGCTACAAAGTGGAATCCATGACATGCGAGTGTGGAGAAGAGCAAACCACAGACACCTACTGCAATGCAACCTGAGCCCTGCCACATGCACAATGGAGGACCTTCTTGCAGCAACACCAGAGGCACTCCAAGTGGCCAGCTACTTGTCAAAGGACATTTAATAGAATACCAAGTCTGCAAACTTTGTGTTTTGTTTGTTTGTCTGTTTTTTTAATGCAATACAACTGTTTTGATTCGCTCCTGACACGATAGATAAATAAATAAATACTGCTGTCTACTTTCCCAAGTCTTTGGGGCAAAGTTATCCTATATTCCAGTCAGCAAGTCTTTAGGAATCCAGTGATTACAGTACAAGAGCTGTTGAGGAGTTGCAGGAAACCTCAGAATGTGTCTCTCCTCTGCTTCATCCTTGAACTCAAGGAGACCTTCATTATCCAGATTCTGAGGAATCTGCCTCCTCCTTTCCATCTGAATTGTCTGGAGTGAGTTGTGACATGAGTCAAATCTTCTTATGATACACCATACATCAATCTCTGTTTTATTATATTGACTTCTAGGGAGAGTTCAGGCTTGATTTGCTCCAGGACTCATTGAGTTCTCTGTTTATTTAGCAGTATACAGTATAACGTGTCTGCTTACAGCTATTGAAATGAATACACCAAAGCTCTGGCAACAAGTCTATGATTTGGGATGTGAAATGACCAGAGAGAGGGGCGTGTGAAGTGGGAAAAATGTGATAATATATAATCATTACATATATAACCACTTTGTCCAGAGCCCAACCTCTTCTATCCTTGTTTTCTTCCTGTAGAGGTGTGACGGCGCGAGGGGTGCCACCTATGTATAGAACTGTTAGTTGCAAGATTTAAACTCTTGCATCATGCTTAATCCTGCCCCTTTTACCCTGCTTATGTATAGTTGTATGGATTGGTTACTTATAGCTGTCAATCAGTACTGTTTGGCTCCACCTCTTCCTGCAGGAGGGGAGTGCTTCCTTTTTTTTCATTCTGCCATCAGAGTTCCTACCATATGGATGTAAGAGACTTGACTTTAAAGGACTCTGATTTAAGTTACCTCTTAGCACCAGTTCTGAGGTTTTTTACCCTTGGGACTCATGCTTTACATCCAGATCGTCCTGGACAACATTAAGGAGACCCAAGCGCCTTCAAACCAGTTCTTTTGGCACCAAAGGAAGATCCTGAGTCTTCAAACATAGGCCATCTGAACTGGGGTTGTGGTTTGCTCCGGCATTCACAGCCATTGAGGAAAGAGGAAACTTGGTGAGGCTTCTCAGCTTCAAACACCTTGGACCCAGGACTAATTGAGACTGTAACGTATATTTTCCTTCACCCCTCTGAGGTTTCCAGCTCATTGCTTTAAAGAAATAACTCTTTGTGATCAATAAAACTTATTTTGAGTTATTTACAGCGTTTTGAGTTTTTGAGAGTTCCAGTTTCCTATAGGAGGGCAAGAAGCAATCCCTTGGGTGAAAGATGCCATGTCCATCCCTCCTTCACCAAGAAAAATAGCCCCCAAGTGCGACGGCACAAGAGGTTTGTGAGCAGAAGCTGGATGGTCATCTGTCTGGAGTGCTTTCATTATATTTTCTTGCAGGGCAGGGGATTAGACTGAATGGTCCTTGTGGTCTCTTCCAACTCTAGGATTCCATGTGTTTTCTGTGCATTACATTGCAATGGTCTCTCCTTTAGTACAGAGACCCAGAACAAGATGGGAGAATCATAAACAAGACTCATGCAGTTTTCTGCCTTCTTAGGCCCTTTCTACACAGCTGTATAAAATCCACATTATCTGCTTCGAACTGGACTATATGGCAGTGTAGACTAAGATAATCCAGTTCAAACCGGATAATGTGGATTTATGCTTTGATAACCTGGATTATCTGGCAGTGTTCCCCAAAGAAAGTAAGAAATATAATCCTCATGCCTAAATTTATAAATAAATTTAATAATAATAATAAAAATAATAATAATAATAGGCACAACATTCTACTTCTTCTATTGTTGTCTCTCTTTCTCTTTTTCCAGTAAGAACAATCCTGTTTAGCAGCAGAAAGAAGACGA